TTAATAAATATAACTAAGCAACTTATAAATTTAAGTTTCTATTAATTTAGTAAATCCTCTTCCAAAAGGAACTGATATAAAAGCATAACTGAAAGAAAAGACTTTACCGTTTTGAAGTTTCTCTTTATCCACCACAAACTTATTTCATTAAACAGAAAATTTAAGTGGCATAATTAAGAAGCTGCTTTTAAAGAAGAAAAAGTATTAGTACCTCCTCAAGTCGTTTCTTCAGCTTAAATCATTTGAGCACAAACTCTTAATTCAATGTGAGTGCAACGTGCAACACTTCCTCCCTATGCTGCTGCTAACGTCCTGACTGTCAAAGTGAAAGCAAGAGCGTGAGGGTTAAAGGCAGACTCAGAGGTAAGGGGGCGTGCCATGTTAGTCTGTATGCTAGTCCATCGAGTCATTAAATTAAATTATCTTGAACTATGGCACAAGGTAGTATTTCTACAATATGGCAATACAAATAATTCAATTTCAGCTGATTCCCATATTTTAATATGGAAATGATCAAAATATGAATACAGTACATATGATACAGTACATCTACATCACCTACAATCAGAAAGAATCAAGAAGAATCAAACAAGAAGAATCAATAAGGCCTGATTAAAACTAAAACTTGCAATTTAATCTAAATGGACACTTCTGTGATTAATTTTACAACCCATTTCACTTTTTATAGAGGAGGGCAATATATGAAATTAACTATAAACCATAGAATGGGGTCCAGTGAACAGGCCATAGTAACTTACATTGTACTGAAAAGATTGGACCCCAAACTTCAGAACCACTGGTAATAAAACTTGATTTTAAATTTAAAAAAGGGATTAAAAAATGTCTTTCAAAACAAAGATACAATGAACTGCTATTTCTGCACTTTTGTGAGTAATTTTAGTCTTTTCACATTAGCCTTATAATTAAACTTTAACCAATACATTTGAAGACACATTATAGCTCATTTCAGTTGAATTGCTAGTAAATCGTCATAGTTACTTCAATAAAAAAAAAAATAAATAAATAAATCAATCATATTTAGGCACATTTAATAGACTGCTAAGTATTATCGATCATTATTGATTTTTTGTTCAGATCACCTATCACTGGATCTGAGTTAAGCATTTTAAAACAAAGTTAATATTAAAAAAATTATTCATCTATAGACAGTAGAAAAACAGCAGTGGAGAACAACCAGAGGCAACGCCTCGACTACGCTGAGCTCCCACAGGCTGCCATAGCAACACAAAGCATGTGTGCACACTTGGGCTGTTGGCTGTGGACATGCTCACTGCATTAGCCAACAGCTGCTCACGCTGCTGCAGACTTCAGGGAAGACTTCAAGGGAGGATGAGGGGAGGACATGACGCTGTTTCTGGTGAGTAGCCAGACCCACTGTGCATGTGCAGCAGCAGGTGGAGGTCCCTTTCAGTCTGTTCTTTGCCTCTGAATACATCAGCACTAGAGGCAACGCCATGGACTGACAAAGAGCAACGCCAGAACCTCACGCCACACAGCTCCATGTAGCCAGGCCAACACGACTGTTTAAGACGCCATCTTTATGCAAGGGCCACCTGTCACTCAAGGCAGTGACCATGGCAACAGGGGGAGCAGCTACTATGGCAACACAAGCTGTCACAGCAACAGCTATGATGATGGCAGGGCGGGCGCTACACTTAAAGAGACAGTGGCCTCTGCTGCTGATGACGTCTGCTACTCTTTAGTTAGATGAGAACCTTTTGCTTCATTTATTTGTCGAGGAAAGGCCATGGCTGTGTCCTTGACAAGACTATGGGAAATCAAGAGGAGGACCATTAGGGGGCTTGTTGCCATGGCTGCATGCACCATTCCGCAGCAGTGAACACACAGGCTCACATTTTGGGTCACATAAAAGCGCAATTATCTTCTCTGTTAGCTGTAGCCTTAATGGTAAGTGTTACTGTGTTATTGTCAGATAACAAATAGACGGTTGACTTGCATCATAGTTACTAACAATGTCAAAGTCATGCACAGAGTATACAGTATATGTAATATTAGAAGTTTTATTGAGAAAAAAAATACAACATAATTTTAGGAACGAATTAAGAAAAATTATTGACACAAATAATATCAGAAATGCTATAATCTGAATTTACTACTTGCCTTCAGAGTTGTATCAGTGTATCACAGTGGGCACATTAGAGCATGAACAGGAAGTGAAGGGTGTGTCATTACTCACTCTGAGCCTGCAGCCATGTCCAGGTATGAGGTGTCTGCTGTGTCCACCCCAACTGGGACGACTATGCTCATGACGTTCTCTGCTGATCAGTTCTTGTCCTACTGAGTCCAGAGAATGGCAGTCCGAAACACTGAGGCATACCAGCCACAGCAGTCATTGCAGACATCTAAGTGCATCCACAAGGCCTGTAAAATTAACAAGGAATAGAAAGGAAAGAAGGGGGATGATTAGTTATAATCATTTTCAAAACTTACACAACAAACAAATAGTAAGTATTAATATACAAATGCCACAAAAGAGGTTTGCTGTAAGAGTTGTAATTGCAGTTATTATGAATGGAGCGTAAGCGACCTCTCCAGCATTGGCCAGAAACACATGCTGCACTGCAAGAAAGCCCCCACAAAGGGGAGCAAGAGAGTACAGACCAATGATCCGCCATGAAAGTAAAGAGGGAGTAAAGAGGGAGAGCAGCAGAGGCCATTTTTTCCCTTTCCAGTAGACAATTAAATACAGTCCCTTTAAAGCCAGCTTTACTGGCAGAGAATCAAACACAGTAATGCTCTTTGCTCTGGTAAACAGAGAAGGCATGCTTATGTTAAAAGATGAATCACATTTGTTTGTAGGTTTATGGATTTCAATCCAGACAGAGCATGTGTGTCAGTGTGGCTGATACTAGAGCTTCGTTGATAAGCAGGATTAGTGGGAGGGACAGATGCTGAGACAAAATAGGCTGGAGGTCACACCTCCAGCAGCTCCTGCACTGGGGCCAAACAAAGACTCAGATCACACAACTACGGAGTACGGACATGTCACTTATTAAATAATGCCCTCATGTTTAACCAGCAATCAACATGAACAACCAAAACCGTGTTCAGATTAGCTATCATGCCAGATGCTGTCATAACATTGTGAATACCTTTACAACAAAACAGGTTAGAAACAAATGACAAAGAATAGAACAATATTTGATCAGTTTTACTATTGTTTATAACTTTTTACTCAGAAATACATAGACTTGATTTGACATTTTGCCTCATTCTCACATATGTGATTGTTAAAGAACTATACTAAAATGTTCTCTTTTAACTGATAAAAATGCATTTTGATTGACATTGGAATAACCAGCATCTTTGTTTCAGTAAGAAAAGAGCTGTACGCCAAATGCCTGCTGCCTGAAATGACAAACTGCCCCCCCTTGAGTAAGAGGCCCAGGATATAGTGCTAGTAAACAGCACGTCTTTGAGCCTGTTTGGTCCCTTGTCCACTAGGTTGGTCTCCAGTTCATCCAGGGAATCCTGCTGTCATTGCAGTGGAATGCACATACACACTCATTCAACTAACAGCAGATAACCCTTGCCTCGGTCCCTCTAAGCATTCTTCTAGAAGGAGGCTCAGAGAAGGATACACACATATGTGGACTGCACTGCAGCCAGACAGCTGTGATTGACAATAGGGGAGTTGTGAAAAACAAGTACAGTAAAGCTGCATTCTTGTCTGAATCTAAGCCACTGCACTGTGGCTGCCTCGGTCTGCTCCTCCTACTTCCTCTTGAAGCACTGTCGATCACCTTAAAGAAGGCGAAATAAAAAAAGAGAAAAGGAGAGCCCTCCCCTCCCTGTGCCCAGTCACCCTGCCCAGCCGGATTTCTCTCCTCCTTGGTGCACTTCCTAAATAAACCTGAAACCAAAGGCTATGAGGAAAGGAACGGAAGGGGAGTGTCACAAAAACAGCTCATAGTTACAGGGAAGAACAAATACAAAAATCAGACTCCTTCAATGGAAAAAATTGAAGTGGAGAGAGAAAAAGACAAATATGGAATTGGTTTTACACCACTTGATGTTATGGTCATTAGACACTTATGCCGCAGCGAGTCGCCCGGCTTGTGAGGGCAGCAGGGTGGGGGAGGTGTACAGGGGTCTGTCTGACAGTGACGCTACACAGCTTAAATCTGTGTGGACTCTGGGTGGCGGAGTAGAGCATACATTGCTGCTCTGCTTTCCCCACCTACCCTCCCTGAGCGAGGGGACACAGTCACGTCATTGTGTAAGGAATGGCTACGCTTTCAGGAAAGACCGCACTGAAGGGAAAACCCACAGAACACCAACAGCTTCCCTTCGACTCAGTTAATGTCTTGACTCAATAACACAAGATGCATATTTGAATGTCATTCTATTGATCTCTACATGAACCATGTAAGCAGCAAAAAAGCATACTCTGAATGATCCCTTGTCCTTGTGTTTACAAAGTACAGTAAAAAAATAAATAAATTAAAGTTGAAATTATCACAGCTCATTTAGTTATTTGTGTGCACTTACTGAGAAACTATTATGTGTCAATACAGCAAGACATGACATTGCAGCAGCAAGAAGACAACTATAACAGAAATTATAAAGATGAAGGGAATCTGAATAAACACAATGTCTTTGTACCATTTTCCAGAAATCAAGAAACATGCCAACTCCCTCTGTGTGACGGGTCTGGTAACAAAGCTGGGGCTGCCCTCCTGTTGTCTGAGCAATGTCTGGTCAGTGAAAGCCCACAGGCATCTTTTCATCCTCATATGCTTCAAAGTGGAGGTATATTAGAAAGTTACATAATCATTAATGAGAAAGTATTGAAAAACTCTTTAAAAAGCAGCAGACTTTCTATTTAGACATTGTCTAATGGTTTTGTACAATGTACTCTGATTATCCAACATGAAACAGCATGTAGCCTGATGAATAATTACAGAAGACTAAGAACCCAAGGTGCAGTTAGTGTTTGAGTGAACACGCTGTGGTTAATCGGAAGAGCAATAGTAACTTGGATATTATATAAATACAATATTCAATGTTGCAAATGGCCTACAGCAGTGTTACATCACTAACATCAATGATCCTGAACCAACTTTGAATTCATACTTGGATCATTGAAACTACATAGATTTAGCTGCAAATAACAAGATATACTCTTATGTATGACCTGATTAGACCTCTACAGACATTCTTGTATTAGTTCATTATTCAGTCTTCTTTAAAATGCTAATGGTCCTGGACATGTTTATGTGTACTTAGAACAGAATCCTGCAATTTAACTATAGATCACATATCTTACTGTAATTACAATGCTTGCCAGAGAAATATATTTTTGGGAAAATTGTTTCACATCAATTCTAACTGCAACAGAACCATGCACAAAGACAATTTAAAAGCTGACTGCAAGCTTAACAACCGCACCCCTAAAGCCACCTGTCAAGAGGGCAGCCTGCTAGTTTAAAACAAGATCTGTTACAGGCCAGCTAGCAACACAAAAACAGGTCACCTGAGCCCTGGCTTCTTCTCCCAGCTGGAATACCATGTGACTGTGTTGTGCTCAAACGCTAGCCAGCTTTGTCTTAAGCGTCTCTCGGGTCCAGACAGCACACAAGTGGATCACCAGAGACCAGGTTGTAGTCCAAATTGCATAGATTAGCCTGGCAGAAATAATATTGCAGTTACATCTGAAGAAATGAAGAAACAAAAGAGAAAAAGTCCCTTCAACAGTAGATCTACAGCTCAACTGTAGCAGTGATTATGGCACAATCTGATTTGCCCTGATTCAACATCCTAACTAAGTAGATCTTCACGTTTCCTTAAAGTTTGCTTTAATAAACCTCTTCACATTATACATGGTGTTAAGAAACAATCTGTCAAAACTACTACTCAACGTAACTTAAAAATTAGACTGTCATGTTTTAGTACTGGGTTTATTAGCTTTATTCTGTCTCCATCAAGAAAGCACTAACGCGTTTGCCGAAGAAAATCTGTATTAAAAACTGAAAAAAACAAACAAACAAAATTATAATACAATAGGGGCCATTTTTTTTCAAAGATATTGAAATAATTATATGTAGTGAGGGAGCATGCAATTTGTCTCGCTAACCTCCACACCAACACACATTAGGCATGTTGTGAGACATGCACCGTATACAAGTGTGTGACGCATGTTTGAGGGCCAATTGTTTGATAACTATACTCAAAAAAATAAAATGTACAAATTCAAATTATATTAAAAATAAAATGATAGCATCTTAAAAGTGCATTTAATAGTTTGTAGGCCTCCTTAGTTTGTTGTTGGCGCTGCAGTCCGTGCTGCCGATAGGGGTGTGGAGGACACAGCGTTGCTATTATGTTTCCACAACACCCTGGTGCTGTCGCCATTTTCATAGCGTTTTCTCAGGACGGCGAGACTATCGTTAAGACAGGGAAGCCTCGCCACGGACAGAAAATCCCCAAGAAAGCATTCAATCGCCTTTTTACACACTCTGCCCTAAGTATCTCTCTGTCGCTGAAATTTGTGTGTTGGTGATGTAGGATTTTGATGTAAATTCGTCGAAGCAAAGACAGGAAGCTAATGGGCTAGCATCCATGGCCTCTCTTAATGAAACGCGTTAAGCTATTTTAAGAAAGCAAGTAAAACAAAATTGAGTTGAACCATATCAGACTATATCTGGATAATGGTTTGGCACGATGATCCGTCGAGTTACATGCGTCTTTAGTTAGCGGACCTTAATAATTCTAGCCGAGAGGCACACGAAGTTAGCTGTGACGGCTAAAAGCATAATGCGTAGTAATGTGGCGTTAGCAGACTAAGCTACAGGGAAGGGCATTAGATTAATATGTGGTCATCGTCAGTGGTAATAACTTGACGAAGCTAAGTATGTTAATGAAAAACTGCTTGCTTAGAGAAATGCATAAAAGTACAGTAGCAGGCTAGAAGTGCCTAGCGATATGGAGTTACAAATTGTATGACTGGGGCGAGATGCCCAAATGGATATCCCCTCCCCCATGCTTGCAGCATTTGAACCTAGTACACCATGAATCTAAATTAAGTCTCAGTGAAACACACGTTAAGTCATTTTAACAGTATCCTTTTAGGCAGATTATTGAGTTTATAAAAATGATGTAAGTAATGGCATAATTTATGCACAATTCTGATACATTTACATTTCTTATAGCTTCGTAAGCCTTTGTGTTACAATAATCATTTAGCATGTATCTGTTGATATGCATGTTAAAGCTTGTCTGTGCAGTGACATTGTACAAACATTTGCTGTATGGAAACAATGTCCTGTGCTGTGTGGGCAGGATGCAAGGCACCACGACAAGTATAATTTACCAACAAGCCCAGTGAGGGATCTTAGCACTAAAATAGCCATATACAGTCTGAATATATTTGGGAACCTGTACAAACAAGCAGCTTAATGTGCCGCTTTGTTGTGACAAATACGGTGACTGTTGTGTTTTAGTAGGCTACCACAACAAAGTCGGAGCACATTGACGCATTTGCTGACCGCTGCAGTTATACGAACGACAGTAATTTAGAACACATGAATTATATAAACCGTAACGACATTATTTAGACAAATCATTCATAAAATAGCCGAAATAAAGCGCCAAAAACCCCGCTGTGACAATTTAGCCCTATTTGGATGAAATAATTTTTTAATGCCAATTGGAGAATACTCCAATCTTAAATGCTTCTTCTTTATAATGTATCTGATGTTGACAGTGAATATGTCGTTAAAATAAAGCATTGCAAGTTCAGAGCTTTGCGGCGTTTATGAAACGTTTTCTCATAACCTAACTAATACATGAGGAAAATCCCAATAACAGGTTGTAAAAATTAGTAAGAAATAATCCCACTGATTAAATGAGCTATCTCCTAACGCAATAGCACACGCTGAACTCAAATTTAATCAGAAAATGATGCTTTAGTTAGTGTATAGCTAATTTAAGCTAGTAGCATGCGCTAGTTAGCAACTGGCTCTCCTACGAGCAAGACATTTTCACGCTAGTGCTCACTGATCGAGTCTCTTCTTAATTTAAAATTATTAGCGGACAAATTTAAACAATATACCACATATAAGTGAAACAATTATTACTGATCCATACTCTAACACCACAATACTCAGCTCGTGCTCTTCTTAGCCAGCTAGAGCATGTTGTGCCTAGCCAGCTAACTAAAGCCAACAATAGCTCTCTGGGTCGGATTTAGGATCACCACACAACTACAATCAATTCGATTTACTCACCGTTTAATGTCCACTCTCGAAGACCCAAACAACGAAGAGAGGATCTGGGTGAGACCCCCGCCGCTCTTCAGAGCTCTCACAACCAAAACAATACTTCTGTCCACACACTGCGGATCACTAGCAAAGTCTCAAAATGTGTCTCCAAAACTTATCCTGCGATTAGTATGCTTCCTTCAAAACGCGCTACTTCCAAATCTTTGTAGGCACTCCAATTATACTGTCAATAAAACCAAAACCGTTAGAATTATGCTCTAATGAACAGCGACTTTTAGAAATTAGATCCCCTCAAACCAGTCTCTTTTCCCTGTGTAAAAATGGCGGCGCAGGCAGGAGCGCACAGACTCCGCCCCCTGAGCCCCCTCCTGTCCTCCACGAGCCCAGCCCCGCCCCCGCATCTGCGGGGCCGCACACTCGTGCTCACAAGGGTGCCATGGCCGAGCTCCGTGCGCGCTCATGGACACGAAGAATACATCTGATATCTCTGTAGTATTTTACTTACAATTACATTTGTTGTGAAGCCAGTTATGAGTCCTCCAAATCCGCTATTCAAATGCGTATAATAGGGCGCGAATACCATGCGCTTTGAAAAAACTAACAAACTAGGATCAAGGTGTCTTATCGTCTCATTTAACGAGGTATTATACTATTATTATATTTTGTCTGTGCAAATTATAATGATTAATGTGCTTAACGAATGGGTTTCGCAAAAAACGTGACATGAGGTGCATAATATACTATTTCTAATCATCTGAAAGTGAGAGGCTTATGTAACCCTTCCCCAGGTGCTATGGCTTATAAAAATTGAAACAGATATGACCTCAATCATTGTGGAGAAAGTACTTGCCGCATATGACATGTCACAAGCATTCCTGTCCATTTTAATTTAATGCCTAGAAGTATGACAATTAAAGTACAATTCCTCTGTTGTTAGTCTGTATACCTATTATTCTGATGTTTTAACCTTTCAGCTACGTTTATCTTCCACATATGATAGGCCACGGCTCACGAGTGTCTACAGAAACATCTTTTTGATATTATACGTTAAAATGCTTCTGACCCTCCACCAAACCGCATCTCTCCACGCATGCGCAGTGTTATTGACTCGCAGTGCTGCTGCATGTCGTGTGGTTGCCCCCAAATAGTTCGAGGTTGAACAGAGAAATATATGATTAAGGAAGTGGGACACCGAATCAGAGTCGTTGATCATATAGGCTACTGATAAAAGATACACGGTGACGTTTTAATGAGCTGTTTCAATTGTTTAATCATGGACTTTACAACTAAAGTGGACCGTAAGTTCACTGGTCTGAGATGACATCATGTGAGTTGAATTTGTGGGCGGGCTCTGAGCTGAGAGGGGAGAGGGGTGCAACCGGAGAGCAACATCGAAGAGACGCCATTAAGTAACATAAGATAAGTCACGAAGAGACAAGAAAGACCCTGATATATCCGCCTGCGATTTCGCGTGATGGCGCACCATTCACACTAGCAGCTGAGGCAGTAGATTTTTTAACAACGGATTTAACTGTGTCATTACTTTGTAAAATAGGTGAACTTAATCGACTTGGAACAAGATGGCGCCGAACTACATCCATGATTTTTCAGCCGATCTCATCTGGGTGGCGTCATGCGCGCTCTCGTTTCAGGGTTATTTCCTGTTTTTGTTACATGCCAAGACGATAATCACTTTTATAGTGTAGCTATCCTATATTCTGTTTTGATTATGTGCACAAGGGTGCATAGATGCACAAGATTTGTTTTTGCCCATTGCTCATTCTTTTATTGAAGCCCTATTGTAAAAGACTAGTTAAGGCAAAGCATAAACCTATTCCTGTTCCAACATATGCAATTATGAGATTTTTAATTGCCATAGGTCTATTATGGCACAAGGTATGACGTTCTCTTTAAACAAACAAAAAAGACGTTCTTATTAGTGCGTAGCTACTGCAATTTAAAAGATATATTATGATATAATAGAGCACTGCCTCCACCTAGTGGTCCGTCTCTAGAGTAGCACTTTCCAGGTAGCCTAAATGGTTGTTGGTGCTGCCAAGTCAAGTCTATACTGCATAACACTCATCATAACGCCACAAAACTTTTATTAAACAAATTAAATACAAGCCTGCTTGTATTTATTGTTCATTATTACTATTGCTGAGTGATTTTTGTATATACAGATTTGTACATTTATCATTAAAAAGCAATGATCAATTTAAAAAAGTGTTTCTAGAAAGGGTACTGTGGCCAATCAACGCGGAGTAACAATATACGTCATTTTGGCCTGTCCAATCACATAAACTGTTCTTCCAAGGTCCTTTATTGACGAGGGAGAAGGTGACATTTCAGCGGATAGACCAATACACAAATCACTCGAAAGACTGTATTTTCGCTTGAAGTAAAATGTCTTATTTAGGAAGGGCAGTGGGAATTATACGGACTAGTTCAAGGCTGCTTAGACGAGGTCCACAACGTACAATGACGAGAAAGTAAGTCAAAGACACTGTTAGCATGTAGCTAGGCTAAATCAGACAAGGGGAGAAAACATAATAATGGTAATAAGAAGAACAAATTACTTGTGTTATACCATACTTATTTGTACAATATCTCATCTGTTTGCAGTGGTAGTGGCGGACCGCATATTGAACCACAGTACAGACAGTATCCACAGATAACCAAGAAACAGAAATTTGAGTCAGAGCTCATCAGCGGTGCCATGTGGTTTTGGATACTTTGGCATTGCTGGCACGACCCGGACGCAGTGTTGGTGTGTATAACTGTTTGCATGTCATGTGTACATTTATTATATACACTGATTTCTATCGTGCTCGCTCGTTTTATCGCAACAGGGTCACTTCCCATGGCCTGACGCCTCCGAGTGGACTGACGAGGAACTGGGTATCCCACCTGATGATGAGGAGGAGGAATGAGTCTATCATGGTACATGTACATTAGTTTGTCCAAACTTTGTTTATAGGTTTTAAACAACCAAAAATATACAATTTAAATGTGCACTGTATAACTTTTCTATTGTGTAGATATTGTTTTTCCTACTGTAGCACAGAGTGATAATAAAAATTTCTTGCCTTCATTCAGTTTATTTTATTGGTCAAAAACACCTTATCTAGACTCTTTCAGTAATTGAACTAATACACATATTTCACTTGTTACTTAGCCTGATGCTATCACATTTTGTGTCCATGAAGTTAAATAAGTTTAATGTCAACGCTGGAACATACCAGGCAAAGCAATATCATCTTCAATTAGAGTAGTAGTAGGCAGCAGACCGTCTCCCAGGAAATAGTGCATTTTTTTAAAGTATCGAACTTATCCTTTCGTTTGCTTCTGTGCAGAACTTGTGAAATTTAACATTATATTTTCTTTCTTGCAGAACATGAATCAAGTCTAAAGAAACTGAAGTGTTGTGAATGCTACGTGTACATAAAATGAATAAATTATCTTGTGTAAAATAAAGGCTTCATTTTTGAAGTAAACTTCTTTACATTTTCAAATTTTATTTACACACATTATCTGAAATGTAGAAACAAAATGCAATGCCTGAACAGTGTCACAGTTAGCCAGTGTATATTCTTTAACCAAAAGCTATTAACAAAAAAACTATTGCATAACATAGCACCAACATTTTGACAAGAAAGCTTAATACAAAAGCAAAAGGAGAAAGGTGGTAGCTTAGTAAACAGTGCCTGTGGCTCAGCTCGTGTTTTCACTGAATTGACATGCAGAGTTGGAAGTGGATGTGTAGTGTGAAAAAGAGAAAAGTGTGTAAAAAGGTAAATCGATCAGTCCCATGCTACTGATGTGTGCAGTACTTAGAGCAGAGCCAGTCTCATGCTGCTTAGTCATCTCTAAGCCACTTGGCATCAGTTTACCTTGGGTATACTTATGAGTTAATGCAACTCAAGTGTAAGGAAGAATAAGCTTAACATCAAAATATATCAAATACATGTTACTGATGAAAATACAGATATTCAAAATGCATAATTACTGATCAATAGAAAGCTTGAGTCTTTAACATAAACATGGAATAGTTCCCAATTAAAAAGCTGCTCAAAGTGAATTGTTCCAATGGGAAATACTGAGAGGGTCTATGCCCCCATGATGTGGCTGGTTGTTAATCAAAGTTCATGTCCATGGCATCATACCCTGAGGTTGAAGATCTGCACTTCTTTATCAAGAGTCAAGACACACACCCCACTTTCAGCACTGGCATTATCAAAAACAAAAACATTCATTCAAATTTCCCCAGTCGTTCAATTCGGACATTAACTACTTTGGATTAACCACAGTGGCTCAGAAAAATATTTTTTTGCTAAATGTCACGTGGCACTAAGTTAAGAAAGCTGAGGTGTAAATATACATTTACATTATTCCGGTTTGCACTCAACACAAACACAGCCAGATAGCAGTGACTAAACAGAGAAACAACAGAAAACCTATTAATGAGACAGAGTAGAAGTAATTCAAGACTTGAAATCACTCAACAAATGGTGTTCACTTTAAATCTAAACATACACATTTAGAAAAGGTTTAAAACACCTCAGAATTGGTTTGGGTCAAAATATAATAAAATCTGTTTCCATAATAAATACATCATTCAGAATTTTTAGAAATAACAAATACAAAAAACAAAACAAACAAACAAAAAAAAAAAAAAAACAATGTCACAGGAAAAAAAATAATAAATTAAAAGAATTTATGCAAGTACATTTCAGGTCTAGTTACTCACAATTCTCATCTAAAAAAAAAAGAAAAAAAAATCACTGAAAAGACAGCATCAGATTTCTTTTTGCTGAAATAATCTGCACAGACTTGCTGTCTCTAAATGACAGTGCATTTTTAGATTCTTTGCACCCAGTTTTACAAGTCTGTAATACGCACACTTAAATTTTACAAATACAGACGGCAACCAAGTGCTGCTTAAGTCTTCTCCTCCAAGTCATTATTGCTGGTGTGATTGATAAAAAGGGAGACAAAGACTGAAAAGGATAAAGCATGAACAAAATAAAAATAAGCACCATTTAATCAGTGACCAGTTCCGGCCTCATTTTTAGCACCGTCTGAAACGCAACTAATGTACCCTTTTGGCTTCTGCATGCCTTTGACCCATAATCCTCCATTCACTGTGTGCTGCAGAATGATAATGAGAAACCTAAGTATTGGCATTAAGGTTGTTGATGTCTTGCGGTCGTCTGCAAGTACAAGCAGCTTTGAGGATTTTGAAAAACTTAGTCCACTCTAATGCCCTCTCAAGTTTCAGCCTGTAGCAAAATGTCTTCAAATTAAGAAGCTTCTATTTTTATAGTGTGCTTGTAGCAAAGTCGTGCATTTGCTCTTTTCAATTACAATACCCTGTCTCCAGCATGCACCAAAGATGAACTTTTCAAATCCAAATTCAAATGGTCGCCAGGCAGTGTCTTTCTTTGCATCAGACAAAAGTAATCTGTATCAAACACATTTTTTTTTTCAAGAATAGTCCTCTTCTCAGTTCACTCAAACGAGAGTTAAACAAAGACCCTGCTGTGTCTGTTCAGTTTCAAAATTTTGCCCAGTCTCTGCTTGGCTGTAGCCATTCCCTTTTTCGGCCTCTTACCTGAAAAAGAATGAATGTTATTAGTTTTAGTACTTAACAATGATTATGCATTAGACAAAGCAAGGAGGAGATGACAAACCTTTAGTAGCCTGATTGCTTATAGGTGGGGGGTTTGGTGCTTGTCTTTTGGATGGATGCAGAGGGGGAGACATGGAAGGATCACAGTACTGGTACTCCATTTCTGGGCTGGGCAGCCCCTGATTGTCCCAGGCCTCACTGCTGCTGTTTCCTTGGCTGTCGATGGGGCTCTTGTTCCCCTGGAGACGGTGCTGCTCCAAGTCCCTCTGATCAAGTGGGGAGTGCTGACTGGAGCTGGACCACCACGCCTCTTGGGACAGCTCCACCTTCTCAGTCTTGGAGCACAGGAGACCAGCCATGGACAACATCCCCTGAATGGCTTCTTCTGTGCTGGGTGAGGTAGGATGTTCTCTATAAAAGGAAAATCATAATTTTCTCTGCTGATAAAACACCAAACAAGGACCTAATGATACAATGCAAACAAAACTCTGGTCTGATAAGTTACCGTTTGAGTGGTCTGTGTTGATGCCTGAGTTTCTGATCTGACTGGTCCATCTTCTGTTCAAGTGAGGTTTGAACCTCATCCTCTGGGGAACTGTCTGTATCCTCATCAGAAGAGGATAGCGGTGACACTTTACGATGCTTTGTGAAAAGCAAAATACAAAAAAAAACCCCACATTGAGTACCAAGTAACAGAAATTGACAATTCATCTACTGACTGATCTAAGCTCTACCAATCTCCAGAAATGACTAGTAGTATTAAACTGTAAATAGTATTTACCCGTGCACGAAAGTCACTGTCAGACTCTACATCTGACACACTTGAGTGTCCTGAAGCTTCTTCCCTGAGGTTTGTTTTGTCTTCCAGATCATCTGACCATAAAGTCAAAGTTTAGTATTGGGTGCATTTTATGTTGTACATCCTGGTTTGACTTATTGTGTGTAGCAACTTACCATGAAGTGTATTTTTATCACTAGAGTTGTAATTTGCTTGGCTTTGGCCAGATGATGTTTCACCCTCTGTTTTGACTGGCCTGCTCCCTGGTCTTCTACAATATGAAAACAGACTAGTTATTCGTTAATAATACTCTTTTGGTAAATGTGTGAGTATTACAGTAGCACTCAAATCCATAAAAAGAAAGAAAGATTACCTGATTATTCTCCCATTAACAAACATTAGCCGTAAGTGATTATCGTCCAGTGACTCTGCAGCTGCTGCAGAGGCAGTTGAAACCTTGTTGAGCTTTCCATGAACCTTAGCACAAAATGCTGCATCCTATAAGAAAAAAATAGTCTTTAAAACTGCTAACACTCAAAGCGGATAAGTATACCACCTCCTCTAGATTGACAAAAATATTTAGGTAGCAGATACAAGTCTTACCTCTTCAAGAGGGCCTACTTCCAGTCTCTTGAGCACCTCCCTTGTGTGCCTCTCTAAGATGTCCAGGTTGGAGGGGATCTTTGGGGCCTGCCGCTGCTGCTCCCTCAGCCGCCTGGCCGCTCTTCTGGCACGTCGGGCCTGGCATAGCCTCTCTAGCGTGGAGCGAGTTGCTGGACAACTGCTCGATCCAGATATCAGTCCACAAGCACTTCCCTGAGATTTCACTGGCTTATTACCAATGACTGGTTCCTCCTGTTGGTGAAAATAAACTTAAGTACAGGTTCATTTATATCCTTGAATACTGACTGCTTTAAGAAACGGCTGCCATCTTTTTCATGACATACCTCAAGATGACGTATTTCCTTGGTCAGCTCTTTAATGAGATTGTGAGGCCTGATATTGTCTGGTACTTCACTAGAGGGCTCTGTCACCTAAACAGAACACAGTGTTGTTACTTTAAGCAGGGAGCCATAGAAATACACACAACTAATCACTGCTTTGTCCAAAACTGAAGATCAGCAGGGATGTACTAACTTCTCGTTTCAACCAGGTCTTTAGTGCACCAATTAAAGCCTTGACTCCATCTACCAGATAGTTTGGTGGTGGACAATTGTCTTCTCGGAGCTCTGAGAAAAGCAAAATATATTACAGATTTTTTTTTCTTCATATTTTCATAATCACAGCTAAACAAACATACCTCTTAGAGTTTCTAGCAGGTTTCTTGCCACATACCAGCAAATGGCCTCAAAATATGGAAATTTGAAAAGGTCTGGTGTTTTTAGCCGCCGTTCCATTTCATAACACCTTTAAACCAATAGTAATGTATTTTAAGTTATGTATGTTAAAGAAATATTGACTGTACATTACTTTGTATTTCTGAGGTCTACTTACCTGAGCTGCATGCCAATATTAAGATTGTGAAGGAAATTTCCTCCAAATGCCATGCAGTCCTGAGAGGTAAGAACAGCATGAATCCAGCCTGTAGGGGGAGGCAAAACCAAACATATGATAAGGCTTAGTGTCATACGTTTCAGAGAGACAAAGATAATATTTATTTTCCACAGTTCAACAATCAATTACAGTGACTGATCCAGAACTCAACAGCAATAAAATGTCTAGTGACTCCATAAATAATAAGATGAGGAGTAAGAACAAGTTAAAACCTCCCTTTTATCTGAGGGAAGAGACAACTAAAGTGAGAAAAAGCAGAGGCCAATGGAGAATGGGAATTGGATAGAGGCTCTGATAAAGCCTTGGCTGACTGCCCCCTCTTTAAAATCCCATCCCTCCACACCCTAATACCCAGAGGAGCTCTGACAAAGATGCTATAGCCTGCTGAGAAAAGAATGGCATCTAGAAAGATTCAGGCTTTGTCAAGCAAGTTCCAGGGACATTGCACAGGGAGGCAATCCATGTGCAATGGAGACAACCCAAAGGATTAAGTGTGCATAATGCGTTTCTCCTCTGATTTACTGACACTATACAAGACCATAGCACCAGAATTAAACAACACAACATCTTCAAATAGACTAACCTGTGGGGATGAGCAGGGTCGTCCCTTGGGGCACAACACATTTGTAACATTTGTCCACTTTGTCCCCAAAAAACACCTCACTCTGATTGGGCGAGGAACTCCATGCTTCATATAGTGCAAGGTTGTCCAATGTGGGTTTAATCAAATAAAATATTTTTTCACCCTATAGTGCAAAAAAAAATTTAATAAAATGTTAGACAAACTGTGAAGTTACCAGTCACTCATTGCTTTTTAAACACTCACCCAGAGAACATGGTACCAGACAGAGGTACCCCCAAAGTCTATGTGAAAGTCTGTGTAGCTGTCTTTGACTCCCATGAGGCAGTACTTCTGCACAAAAGGTTTGGGGAAAAAGGAGTCATCAGGCCAGTAGTTCTCTACCCAGGACATTTTCTGGGCTACATCAGGGACCTCCACCAACTTTGACATCCTACAGGGTAAAGTGAAGAATGTTACTGACTGATCTTTAATAGACAAATACTAAATTATATTTGTGTACAAATCAAACACATTTATAACCTACTTTGTGTCTGAGAACTCCAGGCTGATGAGGTTCAGGACCTTAGGTTTATGGGGATTAGTGTAATACTTAATAAACTCGCTGAGCTTCATCTTGCTGTCTGCCTGTCGCGCTACATCAATCACATCAATAACTTTGTCCCCACCTGTAACATAAAAAAATGCATGTACATTTTTTATTTATTAGTTTGCTCACCAAATATAACAAATATTTTATAAGACTGAGTTGCAATGGGAGAGCATGGGCATTGTAATGGTTCTAAATATCCAGTCAGACTGTACAGTACCACAAGGGCAAAGGAAATAAGGTCCACATATTACATTTACAGTGTTTTGAAAACATAGTTGGAAAAGACAGTTCAAAGGAGTGAGTTAGTGCTTATCACACCAGGGTGAGGAGCAGCACACAGCTGGTTGTTGCATTTTCCCTGCACCCTCCCAAACACCTTTTATTACCCGAGTGTTCCCTCTTACTCCCTCACTCTAAGCCCAGCTGGACAGCATCTGATGACAGCCAACAGCTGGACCCAGAGAGCCTTCAAACACAACGTACAGCACGCGGACTTACTTACCAAAGCACTCCAAAACATTAGTAAAGTGTTTTCCAAAACTGTAAATGAATTATTTTTGCAGACAAACTGTATGTTAGAAATTAAGCATCTGAACAATACTGAGTATTTCCGGCAATAATACACCCCTCCAGCCCCATTGTGTCCCAGTTGTAAGAAATGTAACTTGATATGCATTCTGTCCCTGGTTACAACACCTGTTTGAGAGTTAACATTCAATAGGACATTGCTGATTGAGATAAAGTGAGAAAGAGAGGATGTAATGTGAACTTGACGATAAAAACTCCAGTGGGTTTAATAATGGGCTTGTAATTGGAGCTGGAAAGTGGCAGCCCATTTCAATATGAGGCCTTGTGGTCATCAAAAGGGCAATGAAAGCCCAGCCATCCTTCGTTTAGGAGTCACTCAGCTGTGCCCCATGCCTGATAAGCGAGTTAAAATCCGGTGAACAGGGAAGCTTGTTCATATTGACACACAGATGGTGCCTGCCCAGATATGGCCACTTAAATGGTAGTTTTAGTGTGGCATTCACCCATTTTTCTCCAGACTGAGGACATTATATATTCCTATTGTAGCTCACATCTCTCCCAAAGGACAACGGCTAATGAGTTATGGTGAACCTGATAGCTCTGATGCCAGACTCCTGACCCTGTACAAATACATGTGTGACAGTAGTACTTACCCACATACTCCTCCACATCTTTGACAGAGAACGTAGTTGGAGGTAGTTTAAGGCCCAAACCCTCCATCTCTGTGACAGCAATAGGGTAGTTAAAGCCATGCCTCTCCAGGTAGCGTGGGGTCACCTGCTCGCCCTTCATCCGCAACATAATTTCTTCACCACTAATACAAAAGGATAATTTACACATTTGAAATAAACTTCCTCAGGGTTCTTTTGTGTGAGTGGCAAACATACCCAGCAAATGCCCTGTTCTGCAGCTCCTTGACAAACACTGGTGTGCCTGCTTGCACCGGTTTTGTTCCATCATTTGGCTCTGTATAATCATGCCTGTGCCAGTTGTTGCGCTTTTTCACTGCAAACAAAAAGACAATAAATATGTATTAGAATTAGGCATTTAGCTTTAATACTTTAAGAATCACCAGTAACCAAATATGACCTACTTTAACTTCAAAGTATAATATTTATTGCAATTTCTGTAAAGGCTCATGAGATAAATACTTGAAGTGCTATTCTTTCTGTAACATTGGCAAGTTTTTTGTGGAAAAGTGTTTAATAACAGTATTTTTTAAGCTGGTTACACTGAATCATGCTCTCTGCAAAAGAAAAGGTAATTTTTTTTCATCATTTCCTTGAGGTTTATAATGGCTTATACTTATATAATTAGCAAAACTTATTCATGAAAAGTTAATTATTTTATACAACTTTTTCATAAGGCACAGCGGGTTGACCAATCAAAGAGGACAGCCCCCAACTCTATTGAATTAGTTTGTTAATGTGTGCCTTGGGGGCTCTGGGGTCAACCTGTTCCCTTCCCCCACAAACGCCAGACAGCAGACGCCAGAAAGAGACTATTCTCCCAAGACGAGTTTGACTGCCCAGAAGAAAACTCACAGCAACATGTCATTAAGTAAGTGAGTACTACAAAAGAACAGTGCAGTTATTACAGTGTAGGAGGAGCAAATGAAACAGAAAATGCAAATCTGAATTCCTATTAGAGGTGCACATGCAAGGAGCAGTAACTTAAAAGTGAAAAAAAAAAAGCACTGCACAGTCAAATGGCAAATGTCCAAAATAAATTATCTGACGAAGACTTTAAAAATGGATCTATTATTTATTTAATTTATCAAAAAATAAAAATGAAAATTTTTGGACATCGGCCACCTGAGTGTGCAATGTATGTTTTTTTTTTTCTTTCAGGTACGGGAGGAGCAACAGTAATGTAGCTTTAATAAAAGTGAAAATCATGTGATAAACAACATTACTTACTTAATGAGGGTCCATGCAAAACATCACAGTTGGGACAATGGTACACATCAATGTCCACAGCCTGATGCTCTTCAACCTGCACACAGCTAAACACAAAAGACACACCATGAGAAAGAGAAAATGTTATTAATGACATTTTACTGCAACAAGCAGCAGATTTTCATCTACAATTTTTATTGTTGTAAAGTTGATACACGACATTTTTTAACCCTCTGTAGTGTGAAGTAAATACAGAGGAGTGGGAGGAGAAGGGTGTAGGTGAAAACTGAGCACTCATGCCTCATACAAAAAAATGCAGGAATCAAAATACAAATGCCCATTTGTTAATTTTACATAATATGTCTTCCAACATTAAAGGCCATATAACTCTATTTTCTATCTATGTTATAAAGTTATGGTATGTTTGTAACAGCATATAAATATAAAGTTGTATAAAATGGAACTGTTTGATTTGATGCATATTTAGGCTGAGTTCTTCTGTCAAACTGAAAACCCTCTGTTCCATCTTTTGATGTCATGTGGCAATATAGGAAGTGTTTTTAAACTCCAAAAATCGTCACTAGAATTATCTGAATGTTTTCCGTCTTGGAATTGCCAATCTCTACTCAAAAAACGGTAAAAGGTTGTCAAAGTGGAACAGAGCATTTTGTGCTTTAGAGATATAGACAGACTAATAATAATGAGTAACTCAACCATGTGCGAATAAAACTAAACAACTCCAAGAATTTTTTGAGGAGGTAACATTATAACAAGATCTAAAGCTCACAAGAGTCAATTTCATGTAATATAGGACCTTTGAGATTGACTTTGACAAAAACCTTCTTTTCAAGACCAAAACATTTAACTGTTGGAAAATAATTAGTTGCAGAAAAGGCCCTGCCCTCATTACTCAATAGTTCAGTGTTTGTGTCTTGCCACAGTCATTTCACATGCATTGCATTCCTTTGTGGCATACCACAGCTTTAATGCCTGAACAAAAATGAATAGAAATAGTAGCAATTCCCATTAAAATGAATGTATGTCACAATGTCAGACTACTTAAAGGGATAGTTAGGGTTTTTTGACATGAATCTGTATGGCATCCCCGTCAGCAGTGTCGTGCATCCACACTCTTACCCCCGACAGCATCCAGTGAGTCAAGATCCTGGTTTTGGTGCTGACGAAAGTAGTCTGGCAAGTTGTCCGGCTGGGGACGTGAAAATAAAGCGTTTTTCTTCTCAAAACAATATGTGTTCAAAAGAGTGATACATTTGCATCCCAAAACTTTTCTCCTCAAAAAAGTCAGACCTCATAATCGCTTGGCACTGTTTTCTCTCCGTTTGTATCACTGTGTGCTGCTGCCATGTGACAGACAGCCGCACAAGGATCCATCACTTTCTTCGGTTGTTTGGCAGTGTTTACATGCTCAGACCGCCGCGATGTGAGAGAGCTAATGTGAGAGCTAGAGCGATAAGTATATAAGGTTGTATAAGCTATATAAAAGAATATAGCTTAAAAAATGGTGTGGACTTATGATTATCCAGACTGTAACAACAAAAATCTGGCTGAATCTCTGAATCACTGTTTTGCTGTCACGGACATTGCTCTGAGGCAACTCTGGCTTCTTGCCTTAGGCTTCAATGTGGAAACCAAAAAGAAAAAAGCTTTGTGTGTGCAGTTCGTAATTCAGCGACGAAGATTATGTTCCTTCATGCCCAGGACAAAGGTAGAAATCTGTTTTGAAGAGCACTGCTGTACCTGCACCCCAGGTAAGAACAAAAAGGTGTCGCTATGTTTACAAGCGGACAGGCGATCAAGAATCAGCAGCAAATCATATTACCATAGTGAAGCTTCTACAAAACATAACGTTATAAGTAGATTGTTATTACTATTATAAATGCCGCTTACACTATTGGCAGCAACTACATGGACGTGTGGATGATTTCATGTTTCTATTAGTAGTCCATCCTTCCAGTCACAGTGTAGGCTTTATATTAGCTGTATGCGAGTTTCTAAATGACATGATGGGTGATTGACGGTCACCCGGTCTCTCACGGCTCCAGCTGTGGCTCCAGCTTCAACTTGTACCACTTCTCTGTCCCTCATCTCTCTCTCCCTCTGCCTGTTCTAACTCCATCTGGCAAATTTCAGCATCAGTATATTCAGGTTCATAAAGATATCCTCTTGGCTCTGTGCTAAAGGCAAGGTCTTCATCGTCGGTGTCGTAGTCAGACATGTTGTTGCTAACATTCCGAGAAGTAAACAAAGTGAAACAGGCGCCAGGTCACCTGGCGGCCGCGCGCAGTGATACGAACGCAGAGAAAATAGTGCCAAGCGATTATGAGGTCTGACTTTTTTGAGGACAAAGGTTTTGGGATGCAAAATTATCACTCTTTTGAACACATATTAATTTGAGAATAAAAGTGCATTATTTTCATGACCCCAGCCAACTTGACGGACTACTTTCGTCAGCACCAAAACCAGCCAGTATCTCGGCTTACTGGACTCTGTCGGGGGTAAGTCAGTGTGGATGCACAACACTGCTGACGGGGATGCCATACAGATTCATGTCAAAAATCTCGAACTATCCCTTTAATATATGATGCTTCTTATTAATAAAGGAGATGGTGGCGTACAGTCTACAAATCTCCCTTATATTCAAACTACCTGAAAATTGGCATAAAATCATAGTTTGTATAATCATTCACATTTATAAGCAACTACATCGATTTATTAAACTAGTTTAAAGTAGTTTAAGGTCAAATAACTAATGAGCAAGATTTATACTTATATTTTCATTCAAATAATTCTCTAATATATGTTGTTTCACCATTTTTTTCATTAGTAGTATTAGTACAATAACTTAAGAACCTGTTACATGTTTTCAGTTGATGCCATAAAAAGAAAGTATTTTGAAGAGATGCAGAGCAGAATACAGTTTTCCGCTTTGATCTGAGGAGATGGCAGGAAACTGTAAAGGAAATAAAGCTGTGGGCCATTAACTCATCAGGAAGTGTGAGGCTTGTGTGAATACTGTGGCCATAAGAGCCCCACTGAGAGGCTCAGCCCTGTCTGCATTTAACCACACAGACATCAGTATTCATACTGCATTATTTAAACTATGAACAAAATAAAAGTACACATATTTTTTACATAATTTGAGAAATGTATTGGGATTTAAAAGGTACACTGTGCAGCTGATGATGGCCATGATAAAAGTCAGATCTGTGGAGAGGTGATCCTGCTCAAAGTAAGAATGGTTTTGAAAGTATTTTGAGAAATAAAAAAACACTGTAATTTCATGAATGTAAGGAAGAGAAATTTAACGCAATACTGTGGAACATTTCAGGCAAAACAATATCATCTATGGAGGCAGCAGTTGGTGAACTCTCCACCAGAAATGTTTTAAATTTAAATATCTGGCTAGCTGAAAGATTTCAATTGAACTTTACTATATCATTTACAATAAACTGCAATGGAACAAATCTGTTCGTAAGATGGTCTGACAAAAATAATATGCTTTGACTGACAGCAGCTCTCTGTATCAGTTGCACATGTGTCTAATGGGTGCCAGAGGGTCCTACACGGGTGCTACAGGAGCTGCTGTGAGCCTGGCTGACCCTGTGGTCCCCTCCACACGACACAAGCACGCCTTTTGCTCCTTATGTAACAGCACATTTGAAATCAGGGCACTGTGCCACAGACTCACTGCATGTATCACCTGCTTAACAGCACTGAGACACAGCAGTCGATAAGAACAGGAAGTCCAAAGATCTGATCCGAACAAGGCCACAATTTCATTTGGGTGTTGCTCAGGAATGAAGATGGATTGCATCACTACATAGCTGTGCTGCTGGATTTAAAACAGGCCTGAATTTATGCAACCTTTTCTAGATTGTTCTAAACTGACTGAACTATTGGGGTGTCTGTGCAATTATACAGTTGTTAAAATTTTAATTGCAATTAAGTCACTTCTAATCATCAATGACCAGCTCTAACAAATATTTTCTAAAACAAAGCCTGACAATAAAAAAAAAATTCTTTAAAAAAAAATCTATTTCAGGGTAATTATTTTCCATTCATCTGCAGACATTGGTGAGCATATTATGTAGAGAGCCTAAAAGCCAGTGTTATTTTTTATTTATTTAGTAGACACAGCAGTAAATGAACATCTACAACTAGGCAATATGGTGTTAAAAATGTAACCGATATCCACCCTTGAGACGATCTGAAATTCTGACAATACTGACATGCCATACTTTTCTATATAATGCAGCTCTATGCTCAAACACTTTTCATTACCAGGTCCTATTGGTCAGCCTCCATCATAGTCTGAGTGACAAGTGGAATTAACCAATCACAGTGAAGTGTGGACTCTCAGAAGAAGCATGCGACTTTACTTCCATTTTGAAGCCAATATAACAGGATAAGATCACATGAATCACATGAAACACCCAAACTGTAATCAAGAAAATTTTACTTTTTAGTAGGCCTGTCACGATAATATATTAATATAACAATATTTTCTTGGGTCAATATTTTTCGTGTGTACATTTTCTTTGCACTACTGGGAAATTTGTGGTTATTTTTTGGTTATAACTAGTGCTGTCATGCGATTAAAAAAATTGAGAGATTAATTATGATCTGTAATTAATTAATCTAATTAATCTCATTTTAATCTCACCTAAAAATTGCTGAGAAAAGCCTTAAATTTGAGATATTTTCATTTAAATTCATTATTACATTATTGTGGCAGATCAAAAGACTAATATAGAACAAAAAAAAAGTGACTTTATAAAGTCATTTATTGTTTAACAAATCTCTCCAAATTGGCTGTTGAGCCCAAGTCTCCATGAATAAGAAACTGTTTGCTGTAAAGCAGCAAAGACTAGGAAATCTGAACATAATAACCTTTGTCTACTTAAAGACAATAAAAAGTCCTTTCCTTAACCATATTAAAAATATTATTGATAGAGAAATGCTTTATATATGAGATCACTGGTTTTAGTCCTTGTTTTAGTCCTGGTTTAGACCTGCTTTAGTCCTAGTTTAGTCCTGGAATGGATTAATCCTGTTTTAGTCCTGGTGTTAGTTCTGGTTTAGTCCTGGTTTAGACCT